CGCCGGGGCCGAGGCCTTTTGGAACTCATACCTCAAACTCGGCTTCCCGCTGGTGGCGCTGTCGGAGCCCGAGCCGCCCGAGACGTTTCAGCTGCCCGCCTCGGCCGACGGCGCTCGCGGCGAGGCGTGGAGCGAGTGGTCGCGCGTGGAGGTGGATGGCGGGGGCGGCGAGCTCCGCCTCTCGCAGCTCGTGGCGCGGCTCGAGGAGAGGTTCGGCCACGAGGTCTCCTTCCTCTCGACGAGCGGCGGCATGCTGCTCTACTCGCCCCTCTCGCCGCCCGCGAGCCAGCAGAGGTGGCTCTCCATGGGCGTGGGCGCCGCGGTGGACGAGGCGCTCGGCGGCGGACGCGGCGGCGAGCGGCTCGTGCAGCTGCAGGCGAGCCTCTACGACGAGGAGAGCGAAGAGGACGTCGAGGCGCCGCCCATCTTGTACCGCCGGCGCGACTGAGCCGTGCAGCCGGCGCGCACGGTGCTCCCAAGCTCCATCGAGCCGAGGCGCAGAGAGTTGCATTCGTTGTATACCCATGCGACCGAACTCTCCGCTGCTGAGGAGCCGCCGCCGGCCGGGCAGAGGAGAAGTTGCAGTTGTTGAGGTGTCTTTCTCAGCCGAGAGGCCGCAGAGGACAGTCGGTCGAGAGATTGCTGTCGGTCTACTTGTCTGAAGGTCGTGGCGCCGCCGATATGTAGTGGTCCGCTCGTCTCACGGAAAAAAGTTTTGGGGAAATAATCGATAGGGAATGGCCTGGTGGAGCCCCAGAAATGGCTCCCTATTTTTTGGGGGCTGGTGCGAGGCGAGGCGAGGCCTGTGTGGCGGCTTCTGGGAGGGGCTAGGAGAGGGGCGGGTTTGGCGGGAGAGGGGTCCGCGGGCGGCGCGAGCGGGCGTCCGGTGAGCGGTGTGGACGGGGCCGTGCGTGGTTTTGCGAGCTTCGACCGCGGGGCGGCGCCGTGGCCGTCGGGAGGCGAGGAATGTAGCAGCTGCTGTCCCGCACTGCTGCACGCAGGCCGCCTGGCAGGCGGTGTCATGGCGCCCCGTGAGGTGCGCGGGGGAAGCCAGCGGCGCCGGGCCTGCCGGGCGGGGGCGGGCGGGGGCGGGGACGGCGCGATGGGCCCGTGCGAGCTGCTTTAGCACCCGAATTAAAGTCGGTCGTCCAAAGTTGAGCAGAGGGCCTGAAGATTTGCACCGCGCGCGGGGGTGGTCATGGTGGTCGGTGGTTGTATCGGACGAGGGCGATCCTTGGGGCTGCGGACGTCTCCTGCCGATTCTCCGCACGGCTGTTGGTCGCGGGTTGCGCGGGTCGTTCGTGGGGCGGCGTGGGGCCCGTCCTCTCGCGGGCTCTGAAGCGAGGCGATTTTCGCCCTCCCGCGTCGGCATTTTGAGCGCCTTCCGGAGGGATTCGGGCGGTGCGGATTTGATGGGGCGGTAGCGCGGGGCGGCCTCCACCGTTTTCGCAAAAACAGCGTTTTTCGGCGCGGCCGGCGCTCGCCCCGGGAAAGTTGCCGCGCTACGCTCGGCAACTTTCTCCCGGGCGAGCGCCGAGGTGTTGTTGTGGCGGCGGTAAATGACCCTCTCTCCCTCTCTCTCTCTCCCTGCGCGCGCAGCGCGCGATTTTTTGGCGGGAGGGCCGTTTTTAACGATTTTCGAGCCCTTCTTCGAGCCGCGGCGGGGAGCTCTAACCCTAACTTAACCCTAGCTCGGAGCGGTGCTAACCCTAACCCGAGCACCTCCTCCACCCGGAACCCTAACCCTAACCGCAGCCATCCCTCCGCTGTCTGCTCGGAACGGCAAGTTACGCTAGTGCAAGCACGGCTTGGCTCGCCGGAGGCGATCGCATGTGGCGGCGGCGATGAGAGAGGTGGAGGTGGCGGCGGGACGGAGATCGCCGCGCGTCACGGCGGCAAAGTGTCGGCCATCGCCGATGCGAGGCGCCGCCTCGCCATTGCTCCTTGGCGCGGCGAGCGCTGGAGCTGCGACCGAGTGGGCGGTGGCTGCTTCGAGCGGCGCGACGGCGCAGCTCGAGTGGTGGTGTGTGGCCGCAAAACGAGGCGGCAGACGCTCGCTCTCCGCTCCAAGTTGATGCGAAGCACCTAGTGTTGCGAAAGCACGAAGCGTGAGCCGTTGGAGCGAGAGGAAGCGATTCCGGTGGCACCAACGTCAGATCATGTCGAGCGAGGCAGTGCGAGAGTGGCGCAGCGTTCCGGGAGTGACAGAGAGGCGAAGGCGGGCAAGCGCAAGAGAGAATTTGCCGAGCGCACGCACACGGGCGCAAATGCAACGGCGAGGCAGAGAGCAGTGAAACTGGCGCCAATTGCGGAGCATGGATGCACGGTGCACGCTCGTGCTCGAGCGAGAGCAAAACGCCATGCCGCTCTCGCGAACAGCGACGGCTGACTTGCGAGAGAGATTTGTGAAATGCGATTCAGGAGGTAGATTCGATCGACCAGCCAGAGAAGGCCGAATCTTTCAGTGTATGTAGCTACCCGAGAGAGAGAGAGATCGCCGTGCAAAGCTCGCTTCCGAGCTCTCACGCCGCGCGTAGGGCCCTTATTAGGGGCCTAGAGAACACTAGAACACAACCCCCTCTCCCTTTTCTCCCAGTAAGCTAAAAGTACCGTACCGAGGGTGAATTGCTGAGTTTTGGATCTCGTGCGATTTTTCGTGGCCCATTTTTCGCTTGACCTCGGTGGAAAATCGCACTATTTAAGGGCACAAACCGATTTGCTGTGGGGGGGCGGCGTTAGTTAGATCTCTACCGCCGAACGCAAGAAAGAGCTACATACACTGAGAAAAAGCGCTGGGAGTAAAGGGCACAACTTCTTTTTTACCCCACCTCGAATATTTCACCGCCGGTTTTCTTCTTTTCCTGGGGAGCGCGGCCGAAGAATTCTTTTCCTCGCTCCTCTCGTGGAGGCGATTGCTCTGAGGTAGATTGCTCTGAGGTAGATTGCTCTGAGGTAGATTGTAGACTGCTCAGACAATGCGATCCGTCGGCGGCGGCACCGGGGCGCCGGGCACTGGGGCTCGGCCTCCGAAGCAGACCGCCCCGTCGGTCTCTTTCCAGCCTCCGCCCGTGCAGGCCGGCGCGCTTCATGCGGCGCTTGTTGCCTTTCGCACCGAAACGGCCAAGACCAAAGGTATCCTTGCTTACCACGTTTTCACCAACAAAGAGCTGGATGCTATCGTCGCCCGCCGGCCTTGCAAAATCGAGCGGCTTCAACTCATCGACGGCTTCGGCCGTGGCAAAGTCCGGGACTACGGAACCGACATTGTGCGCATCTGCGTGGCGCACTCCGAGCCGGCAATCGAGACAGAAGCACCGCCGCCAGGCGGAGGCCCTACCAAGACGCCGGGCAACGCGAAGAAGCGGAAGTTTGAGACGCCCGGCACCCGCGCAGCCAGTGCACTTGGACCGGGCGGTCCAGGTTCCTCTTCGGCTCGATTGGCGGCGACGACGCCGGTCGAGGCCGCAAAGCGGTGCGACATCTTTAAGCGACTCGGCGATCTGGGGTTGGGAAACGGCTAAGTGAGCGGGCGCAGCCGAGGAGAGCAGAGCAGCCGAAGGATTCAATTGTGAAAGGCGGCCCGGGTGCGGGATGTCTGTGGGACCGAGAGCGATGCGTCATGTGTGTGTCTGCCTTCCGTTTGTTTCCTCGCAGCAACAAGAAAGAAAAAGAAATTTACTGCACGAGTGCTCCTCTGTACGCGCCGCGCTCTTTACGCGGCGCGCAGCGCCGCTAGAGCGGCTTGACGGCGAAAAAAAGACTTAGCGGTTTGGAGGTGTGAAGAGACAAAACTCAAACTTTTCGGCTCGGGTAGGGCTCGAGGCGCCGATTCATTAGACGCCGTTCGAGGGGCGTGTCGCGCGTGTGCTGTGCTACACGTTTGGCGCCGTTAGCAAAGCGCGGAGCGCCGTTGGGGCGGTGAGACGGCGCTTGACGGCGCTCACGGCTCGAGGTGTGAAGAGGCGCCGTTCACACTTTTTGCTATGAATAGTGCTCGGCTCGCCGACTCGTGAGACGGCCTTCACCGTGCGTGTGCAGCGCGTGCTCCTCTGCACGCGCCGCGCTCTCTTTGCGGCGCGCAGCGCCGCTAGAGCGGCTTGACGGCGGAAAAATGACTTAGCGGTTTCGAGGTGTGAAATGACGGTTCTCACACTTTTCGACTCGGATAGGGCTCGAGGCGCCGTTTTATCAGACGCCGTGCGAGTGGCGTGTCGCACGTGTGCTGCGCTGCACGCTCGGCGCCGTTTGCACGGCGCGGAGCGCCCTTGGGGCGGTGAGAAGGCGCCGGACGGTGTTCACGGCTCGAGGTGTGAAGAGGCGCCGTTCACACTCTTTGCTATGAATACGGCTCGGCTCGCCGACTCGTGAGACGGCCTTCACCGTGCGTGTGCAGCGCGTGCTCCTCTGCACGCGCCGCGCTCTCTTTGCGGCGCGCAGCGCCGCTAGAGCGGCTTGACGGCGAAAAAATGACTTAGCGGTTTCGAGGTGTGAAATGACGGTTCTCACACTTTTCGACTCGGATAGGGCTCGAGGAGCCGTTTTAACAGACGCCGTGCGAGTGGCGTGTCGCACGTGTGCTGCGCTGAACGCTCGGCGCCGTTTGCACGGCGCGCAGCGCCCTTGGGGCGGTGAGAAGGCGCCGGACGGTGTTCACGGCTCGAGGTGTGAAGAGGCGCCGTTCACACTCTTTGCTATGAATGGGGCTCGGCTCGCCGACTCGTGAGACGGCCTTCGCGGTGCGTGTGCAGCGCGTGCTCCTCCGCACGCGCCGCGCTCTCTTTGCGGCGCGCAGCGCCGCTAGAGCGGCTTGACGGGCAAAAAAGACTTAGCGG